TGATTATTTCATATTTAATAAAGAAAACATAATGTCAACAGTTGATAAGCTCCAGGCTTCGATTCAATCAGATTTAAAAAACAATGCCCATCAAAATATTTTATCACAGATTACAGGTGGCACTGGATTTTGACAATATCCTGTTTGGGATTAGTGCTAAATGATAAGGTCAGCTCAATTCTTTTTTTTCTTCAGAAACAAACATACCAGAATACCAGAAGCACCATCCAAGGAAGACCATCAGCGCCACCAACACCAAAAAACAGTGAAATCGCCTTTGTATATAAATCTAATGTATTGTATGTTTAATAAAACTAGGAAATATCACAAACTAATTTTTCATCATCCTAGGTTGTGCTTATGTGGAGACTTAAACCCCTCCCCCAAATTCTTAAACCTAACCTCGCCAACAATCATGTGTCCTAACCTTATTTACATCTCAGCGACCTTGACAAATAGATTTAGTCCCTGTTTAGTATGGTGACATATTTTCAATTCATCTTAATGAACTTTGTACTGTAAATACTGAATGAAATTAAAACATTTTCTGACTGATATTCATTTAATTTTCAAGTGAAATTTTGCCAGTACATTTTCGTGGAATTCCAACTGCCAATGTTTTGATCTTTTAACTTGTAGCATGCCAACGCGTACGACAAGACCCTGTTCCTTGCTGGGTTCTCTGTGCTGCACCATTGGCAAGATGTAACCAGGCTGGAAAATCCTGAGGAACTTTGTCAAGGCCAACAAAGGGAACAAAGCAGGACCTCCAGGTTATAGCTAATGATGAAAGATTTTAAACACTAGGCAACCAATTATTGTAAGTACTAAACAAACATACATGTATTGTAAGATAAAAAATACATGTATATCGGTAAGTATTTACAAGTAAGACATCATTTACGAGCATAAGATTAAGAATATAGGAAGCGAAAAAAAATAAAATGGGAATTAATATCATACTGGCTTGCTCCTACCGGGTTAAAGGAGACAGGCATACATCATGCAGTGTGCTATGAGGGAAATTTTCCCCGGACAGTGGCCCTATGGCCTACTCGAATTCCGGTTTTATTATCAACTATATGATGTCCCTTGGGAACCACCTTGAAATATCCTGATGAACTTCCTCAGCCACCGCTGGGATCGAACACGGGGCATCCAGGTTAGTAAGCCCATTTCTTACTCACTGAGCCACCGTGGCTCCAAGAGAATAAGAATAGGAAACGAAACTGAACTGTCCAACACCAACTGGACTAATGGAGAGAGAGAGAGTAGAAATGGGGTTTAACCTCCACTCAACACAAACTAGGTCATTTCGGGACTAACATATGGTTTAATTTTATTTCAATAAATCGCTTGCGTATAGGGGTCTTTAGCAGTGTAAGGAAACCGGAGGACCCAGAGAAAACCTACGATGTTGGACAGACGACCATACTCCTTGTCATATATAACCGGGGATACTAAACCACGCCAGTTGACTTAATGACAGGCCTTATGATACAGCTCGCACATGCTAACCATTCGGCCATCCCCCCCCCCCCCCCCACAAGAATAGGAAAACTGAATTCAATCTTATTCTGTTTTTTTTTCATTCGACCAGAAGCTAACCCCCTAGCTCTACTCATCTTTTTATTCTACCATATTAATCTTCTGATCAAAGTAAGCCTATTATACATCAATAATTTTGAGAAGTATTTATTTAATCGTTGTGTGTATGACAGATGTGAAAAGAAGTATTACAAAATAGTACATTTACTAATTTTTGGATATGGCAGGCATTCAGGGCAGATATATATTCCCAAAGTAGATTGTTCTCTGTGTACAGAATGGTTGTTCTACTGGCGGGCGACATGAAACTCCTTGGACAATTGAACATCGATTGACGAACTACGATGTTGTTACGTTATGATACCATGACGGCTGCAATGACGAGCAGGCGTGATGCCCGTGTTCCTGATCCGGGCCACATATAGTAAGCTCTCTCTCTCACTTGTTTTTCAAAAGAAATCTCACACTTTGAGGTTAATAATATGACCAATGTCTAGGTCCTATGTTATTTTATTATTTTTTAGTTCTGTTTTTAATTTCAAATCTATATGTTAATAATTAATTCTTGGTTAGAGGCAGACAGCAATTAACCTGTCAGTTAAATTATGACAGGCTGAAAACTAAAGTGGTTGATCTGTTAAGTTTCTTCGAACTATTGTTTTAAAGATGGGTTCCCAGAAAAGTATTTATCGGGTGGTTATTTCCAATAAAAGTATGGCAATTTTGGTATATATGGAAAGTAGAGATATCCAATCTTACTAGAAAAATACTGGATTCCCCGAAAAACACTCATGGAGCGTATACAGGACAAAAATGTAAGGGTTCCCCTAATCAACAGCCCGACGATTAGGAACTTCTGCACGCATGATGTTAAAGGTCACAAGCGAACATTGAGAGCTTGATGTAAAAGTTGATAAATTTTATGAAGAGTTAGACTTACAATAATTTCTGAGATAAAAATGACGGAAAAAGACACGGGTAGTGGGTAATCCGAGAATTTAATTAGGATTCGATATTTGTAATAAATAGTAAGCGATTAAAGACAACATCGTCTTATGTATGCAATGAATTCTCCTCGGACTCCCAAGGCGTGACGTAAACATGACCTGGTTTGATCAAATTTTAATAGCAGGGCATTCCTTCGCTGTTAGAATGTTTGAGAAGGATTTGAAGCATAATTATGACAAATTAATTAGTTTGAATATGTTTTTGGTCCGTATATACCATTAAATCACCAAGTTTGTACGCGGGAACCCATCTTTAAATGCTCCTTAAATAATTATAAGTTTATGTCAACACTTTCTAAGGAACTAAGTTGTATAAATAGACAAATTTATGTAAGATGATTCATTAGTTGGAGATACCAGCTTAGGGAACATATATACTAGTTGGAGGTCTAATATATAGGAAATTATAAGTTGTTAAATTATTGTTGCTGTTAATTATTTGCTCCTGAAATAAAAGTGTTGAAGATCCATTCCAAGAATCTGTATTCATTTCTGATACTTAGAGAACACATGTCAACGAGCTACATTCCCTGAAAGTCAAACAGTGTTAATACTATCAACATCACTGGAATAGTCAGGTACAAATTCAGGCTTTGAAGTAATCCCTCTCGTCTGGTGTTTTTGTGTATACTATAAATAATATTAAAAAAATAGTACATTATTTTTTCTCTTTCGTGTCTTAAGTGTGTCTGTCATATTCTTTTTTCTCTCTCAGTTATTACTAATCAAATACATTAACAACATCTTGTTATAGCTGCAAATGTCAGGCAGTTCCTGATATTATTTTCACGCAGCAGTCCTTAATGTTTATGAAATCATGAGGGAGCCATTAAAAAGTTCCTGCCAACTTAAAAAATGAGAAAAAAGCTCTGGTAAATAACCCATCTTAATTATATTGCAAGAGTAATTCTACATTTTCTTGAATTAAGGAGAGTCAAATTGTAGGCCTATTCATGCTTTAGTCTTATTAAATATTCTCTTTATATGTTCTTACGGAAGTTAACATGTTTGATAGCACGAACGTATGCAGTTTACACTGAAAGTAGTTTAATAATCTCAATATTTCGGATAGCGATTTGGCTTATAAATGCAGGAGTCTTTAATGACTCCTGCGAAGGAACGTCAAAGTGCGTCGAGAGGAGCAGAAGCGAAAGTGCACCTTAACGTGAAGGACTGAGACAGCAATTATTTTTTAAAATAAAAAATTTATGTCAAGCTGTTTCAGGTTCCCTGTTTGATCATTTCTTTGCCAATAAGCCTTTTAACAGAATTCTATACGCTGGTTAGGATGTTTAGGATTAATATTAGGATATAAATAAATAGGAAAACCCATGAGATTATTTAAATAAAACAAGTGTGATATGAACCAAGAATCACGATGACACCTCGTCGCCACGACAACTACCTTGGAATTGTGACGTAATATCCAAAATCAATGTATGGTAATCAATGCACTGTCAAGGGATCTTTTATGTGCACGCCAATGTGTACATGGGGCCTCAGTTTTTCGTCAAATCTGAACGACTAGACAGCTGTCCTTGTCAGGCCCTTCGTCTTGCATCACTGACAAGGGGGAACCGTGACAGAAAATCTGGATGAACTTTCTCGGCCAATGCAGGGGTCGAACACCCGACCTCCAGGCTACCGAGCCAGTGTCTAATTACCCACTTAGCCACCGTGATCTCCATTTTTTTTTTTTTTTTCGTAAAAGACAAATTACCTGTTATATAACTTGTATGATGTACAATGTACATAAAATTAAGACTTATAAATAACAGTTATGAGGTAGTTGTCAATTTGATAACCTTCTATCTAGGTTTATTTATATTTTCATGGTGGGCCGTATGATGAATAATAAGGTTGCGTAAGCTACATAAATGCAGTATCTGATAGCCCTGGATTATTCCGTCTGCATGTGTAGCCTATTGCATAAAGCTTTTCAATTTGTTTCACAGGGGTATTGCAAAAGCCTTCTTTTAAATCTACATGTGATGTCACATCACACAGCGTTGATCATTGGCTTTGAAAGCATGTGCATTGTTTATATGTACATAGGACGTAGTAATGTAAACTGGTCCAAGCAGAATGGTGCCTTTTACACATCTTATGCCTTCGCGTACATACTATTTCATGTACCCAATTTACACTAAATAGGAAATATTTTTTATCCAGATATACTTCAAACACCTTTATTTTTTTTTCTAATACTTCAAAAAAAAGTTTTAGAATTTAAATTCCAGAAGGAAAAACGTTAATATTGTGAGCTAATTAACTGGCACCAATGTCATCCCTGTCAGTGATTGTTATTGTAGCAGCACCCTAGCAAATATTCACTGGTGTCATATCTATGATAAGTTTAAAAGATTTTGTGTACGTATATATTTATATTTTGTAAAATAGGTCATGTTATGGTTTGGAGTATGTCTATAGAATAGTCATACTTACAATCTCCATTGGGTCTAGGTTTGAAACTGGGGTAATCGATCTGGAACACTCGGCACCCACAGGAGCAGACGAAACTTCTTCTTTTGAGGTGGCACTACTACTACTGGATGTCGATGATGTCGCCATATTGTAAACGATTTGGATATCAAAATATTAAAAGAATCTTAATATACCACGCTTCACTGCCTCTGTTTGTTCAATATGCTGTTGTATGTAGGCTAGCGCAATATTATGTACATACATAACATAAAGGGCAGAGAAATAATTCCACGCAACCAAGTGTGACAGCGAGCACCGAGTGCGGTTAGCCTAGCCGGCAAAGACCTGGGCTCACAGTCCAACAAATAACTGTTTATCCAAATAAACTTCTGGTAAAATTAGCTGATATGTTAATGTTCAAAAATCCAACACAGTCATGGTTTATTTCCATCTTAGAAACCGTATTTCATTACAAAACTACAGAATATAGGACAAACTTATCAGCTTCTCAATAGATAGGCTTTTCTATCTCCTATGTGAAGAGCAATTAGTGACCTTGCTTGATTGACCTTGATGAGAACATTGTCCTCATTTCAACCATAGAACTATAACGTGGAATATACTGTTGCAAAAAAAACCACAAAAACTTAGAATTGGGCAAACTTTAAAAAAAAACCTAATTTATTTTTTTTACATGGTTGGATTCTGGGTTTCGGAGTTATGACCCCCGAGCGAAGTCTGTCTGTTCGGGGTTGGCGGCTACACTAGGTCTGCCCCGAGTCTGAAATTTGGGGTATAGGGGTAGCTCGGACCGGGGAGTAATATAGGCCAGGTGGCGTTAGTCTACCACTTCCGGTTTCGGAGTTATGACCCCCGAGCGAAGCCGGTCTGTTCGGAGTTGGCGGCTACACTAGGTCTGCCCCGAGTCTGAAATTTGGGGTATAGGGTAGCTCGGACTGGGGAGTAACATGGGCCAGGTGGCGTTAGTCTACCACTTCCGGTTTCGGAGTTATGACCCCCGAGCGAAGCCGGTCTGTTCGGGGTTTGCCGGCTACACTAGGTCTGCCCGAGTCTGAAATTTGGGGTATAGGGGTAGCTCGGACCGGGGAGTAACATAGACCTGGTGGCGTTAGTCTACCACTTCCGGTTTCGGGGTTATGACCCCCGAGTGAAGCCGGGTATCCTGCTAGTAAATATATAAAATAAAATAAAATTCCAATCCTAAATGTGCGGGAGCTGCTAAACCCCTAACTCAGAAGAATTTCTTCCTTTTTTTTTCTTTTTTTTTAAAAATTCAGATCTGAATAGGGATTGGGGAACAGGCATAGCCTATATTAACCCCCTCTCCCTATTGTTCCATTTCAATCAATATGGATGTTTCGCCGAGAAACTATGGGCTCCTGATTTAAGACACAATCAACATTTTATAATCAGTCCTATATTTCATGTGCCATTTTGTAATGAACAAGCAAAAACATTTCCTACAATGACGTAACTGACTACAATGAAGTTCACTGAACAGCCTATCTTTATATTCCGTTGTATCTATGACATATTAGGTAATTAAAAAACCCGGCGGGATTGAGTTTTTCTCACACTCTTTCCTTGTGTCCCTTATCAGTCAAATAATTCACTGCTATCAGTCATGGCCAGCTATAACAAGCGGTTGCCATGCAAGATACGCCCGCAATTTGCAAGAAATGGATTGGAAGGAAGTAAAATCAATAGGGCTCTTTTGATCCTTAACATATTTATTGAATGTCAACTGAATGGGACAACAATATTGTAGACCCCCCCCCCCCCACCTACCCACTCACGGAACTACTTCTTACATGCTTGCCAAAGTCGAACTAATCCAAGAATTTTGATCATTAACACACATTAGTGTAGCTTTCATCTTATTTATCGGACAAAAATTGTCGCCTCAAAGAGGGTCCACAAACTTTCTTCATATTTCACATATTTATTCGTAATAGGAAGGTGGCGATGCGCACCAAAATTGAACTCATCTAAGAATAGGGCCCTAGTCAAGGAGGTGCGAGGATCCTCTCAAAGAAAATTTTGAAAATTACATCTGCTCTTCTGCAACAACTGGATTAACAGGGGCGGATCCAGGAATTTTTGCAGGAGGGGGTTTGCCAGGTTCGTGAGAAAATTTACCCCCCTCCCCCAACCCTCGGCTTTAAATTTTTTGAGAAATACATGGTCTATTGTCATTTTGGCAAATATACATACACATTGAGTTTTTTAAACAGAGAAATTTATGTAGCTGACCCTGATTAATGAAGTCGGGCAATTTTGCCCGAACAGCGTCGTTTCCGTCTACTCATCTTCGAGATCCCGATGTTGGGCTTGAATGTTATTCGGATTTTCCGGTGACGTTCCCAGTTGTCAGGAGTGGGGGTGGGGGTGGTGACTGGCGGGGTTTCGATTCCCCGGTTGTATGTGCCATTTCACCCTCTCTCTCTGTTTGGAAGGGACGTAAACCCGAGGCGTGTACGTGGAATTTCCCATATCACATTTTTTATGTATTTTTCATCCTTTTTTCTTAATGTATTTTATCATGCATACCGTAATGTATAATTTACATGCTGCCCGAAAAGGGTGTTTTATGTAATAAAATCTCTTAAGATAGCCTATCTTGTAATTACACACTCCCACCAACTTCATATTAATATCATGATTCATCAATTTTAATGCTCTCCTTAAAGCCACAGAACGCTATTTATATTTTTCGGAAAACTTCTTTAAATTTTGATTTTTGGCTGTTTTTATTGTCTGCAGAAGTTACCGATTTTAGCGATTTTTTCCATTTCAACAGGAAATTAAAAACTGTGCAAAGTCAAAACGAACTAAAACAAAAAACATTTTTACGGTTAATCATCAACGGCCATTGAACTGCAGATATGATTCAAATCTGTTGAAAATCGGAGCTGATTATTGTCTTGTCATGTTAATAAATGTCTAATTAATAGTTTATATAACATTTCAGGCCTAAAGAAAGACCTCCGATAGGCAGATTTAGCTCTTGCATAATGTATGTTTTAAGGAGCTATTTTCCATAATATTTGAAATTAAAAACACGAATTAGAATTCAATATTGATCAATTTCAATCAATATTGATGTTGTTATCTTGCCGTGAAACTAAAGGATCCTAATATCCAATATTTAAGACACAATAAACATTTTATTATTAGTACCCATGGTTTTGGGTGCCATTTTGTAATGAACAAATAAAAACATATCCTACAACATAATGTGGAAGTAATTAGTAAAGGTTGATTCACAAACGACAAAATAATAATTTAAAAAACGTGTAGAATGCACTAAGCAGGCGTAAACGACTGCCGTTCAATTTGAACTGTTCGCGTAATTCACCGAACATAATTGATTAGAAATTGAATAATCACTTTACATTTGTTTTCGTTCGTTTTAACTTTACACGGTCATATAAGTTTTGGTCGTTTTGGATTAGCGCCCTTTCGCCTATATCCCTTTTAAACAAGCCGTTGCCATCTTTACGTTTCACTGAACCCCTTTCATGCGCCTCTATTTAATTCGATTAAATCCAAGCCTGAAAATTAGCTATCGTTGCGATCTTGATTTTGAGTTCTTTAATAATTAATTGGTATACATTCAGGCTTGGATTTTCAAAAGTTTCTGAAAAATGTAAATGGCATTCCATGGCTTTAAAGATAAATTGTGCCGAAGGTATTTATCGGGTGGTTATTTCGAATAAAAGTATAGCAAATTTGGTATATATGGAAGTATGGAAAAATACTGGATTACCCGAAAAACACCAATGGGGCAAGCAATGGGCAAAAAAGTCAGGGTATCACTAACTGGCAACCCGACTGTTGTCTGCCAGCTTATTGTGTGCTAGCTTGACTGGGGGAGCGATTGTTATTCCTTGATCAAATGGTTAGGCAGTTTGGGGAACATTGAGGGGTGTCAACGGAAAAAGTAGTTGACAGAAAATAAGATAGTTATATAAAATGGTTTTCTTGTAATTACAAGATAGGCTATATTAAGCTTTCTTGTAATTACAAGATGTCAGAATATTTTTTTTCATTTGATTGACCCTAATGGTTTTCCGTACAATACCACTCTTGCTGTAACAGAATAATATGTCCCAATCTTTATTCTGGTCAACAAATTGTACTATTTTACAGTATTCCAATTAATTGATGATACAAATTTCATCTTAACACACCTAATTTAAAAAATTGGAAAAATTCAACTCAATGATTTGAAAAGCCTAACGTAAACCTTTTTAAATGTGACTTGGATTTAAAAATATTTTCGAACCCTCTGGACAAGTAAAATAGGTTGTAATGGATAATTTACACAACAGGTATGACACTTAAACATCTAATACTTAGAATAAGGCTAATATTTATTTACTGGAGCTGTTAAGCCAGCAAGAGTGTTATTGTCCCTTTAAGAAGATATTTATCCCGCCACTGCTAAAGACCCCTACGCGCAAGCCAATTTTTGAAATGAAATTAAACCATGTTAGTCCTGAAATGACCTAGTTTGTGTCGAGTGGACGTTACCCCCCCCCCCCCTCTCTCTCTCTCTCTCTCTCTCTCTCTCTCGCTCATATTATGAACTTTGATTTTAAATCTTCTGATGAAAACAATTAGAAAAAACGTGTCTCTTGTTTAACGTGTTTTTTTATATTTACATTTTCAGATCTCATGAAGAGTACCAGTATAATTTTATGGTGCCTTCGTTATAATCTCGGTTGTACGTGACAAGGAGTAGGGTCGCCTGTCCAACCTCGCGTGTTTTCTCCGGGTCCCCCGGTTTCCTCCCACTGCTAAAAGACCACTACGCACAAGCGAATTATTGAAATAAAATAATTGTTACGTCTGGAGGGTCCACAAGCTAGAAATAAGATTGTTCGTACGATCATGGGCCATAATCCAAGAAACGACGGTTCGATATCTGGGTTATAAATATACATTGCCAGATTCATCAAAATCGGATAACAATTGTGGCCACGACCATGGTTTTATTATGCATATATTTGTCCAGGACAGCAACACAGGAACCACCATGGACTGTGTTTTTATGGTAAGGGACTTAAAAAAGAATTAAAACATCACTTCATTGCTGACTAGTTTATCAGCCAGAAATCGATCGGAGTCTCCGACGATCTAAGTTATGACTGATTCACAAAGGGGAAAATAATAATGAAAAAAAATGTGTAGAATGGGCTAAGCCAGCGTAAACGATTCTGTTCACGCCTTTCACCGAACATAATTGATTACAAATTACAACAATTTTTATCTTTAAAAAAAACCCAAAATGAATATAAATCTCTTTATATACATTGATATATTACATTAATATTTCAATCATATATAGCAACTGCAAGATAAGTACGTGAAAACAAATCATACTATATGTCTGATTTATATAATACTTGATATTTAACAGACAGGATTAAAACCCTTTATATATTAAGATATTTGGCATCATATATTAAAGAAGAGGGAGAGAGAG